CGACGAAATTTCTCTTAGCGACGAACGGATTCCATCAGTCGAAACATGAACAGGCATTCACTGCAGCCTGCATCCAATCGCAAATGTATAGTATGGGTATTAAGAATACAAAGAAGCAAAAAAGCATTCAGCAGTCCATGACTACGCTTGGTGATGATTCTGCGGACCTAATGACACCGTCGATTGACCCTTGCTATATGGTCTAGGACATCATCAGATTCTTCTATTAAGCGTTCAAGACAGCTATGCAACATGCCGAAAAGAAGGCATAGAGCTGTCATCTCGAATGTGTGGTCATTGTGGTGCTGTGGTACCTAATCAGCTTCGCTTAAGAAAATTCGCATATAGTGTCTGACCTTTCACGTGTCATGCTGCAGACGGTGATAATCCACAATATGTCTTTGTAACACTCATATCAGCAGAACAGGGTTATCATGTTTCCAGGAGTTTATGTGAACACCAAGATAGTGTTGATTAGGGTTGGCAATACATGGGGCACTAGCAGGTACGTTCTGAGGGGTTAAAAACTACGACGATCTGCCAACATATCTTCCAGCCTCTCGAAAATCTGTTTCAGTCCTTTTCTTACCGTCTCGCCTGTCTTTGAGTATTGGCGTGCCATTAATTTACCTTCAATAATTAAAATACTAGATTGTCTGTCTGCGTAGTGCGCAAGCATATGCCGGAGCAGTAGTCATCCATCGCAATTCCTTATTGGCAGCCTTTTGTTAAATGCAAATATATGAGCCTCTTTTCATGTCACTTAATCACTCACCGATGAAACTAATGCACTAATATCAAAATTTGCTTCTCTGCTAATAACCACCGTTAATTTTTAATTGGGTTTCTTCCAGTGTGTAACAGCTCAACGTTCAAAACATGACTTGATAGTCCAAGTTGGTGAGTTACCTTACTATTCACCATATTTCTACCGGAATTAAGAAACCTTTACGTCAACCGGTTTCACTAAAGTCTTTCTTGATGTTCGGTGTTTGTAATACGTGTCCTGAACTTTTCTTTATTCTGGCGTGAAGATATACAATTGCAGAGTCCATTGATACCTGTACATCAGCACAAGAAATCAGGTTGATTCTTATCGTTTATCTGCCCACTAATTCAAGCAGCATGTGCTTCGTTAAGAAGTCACTATTGACCGCATCACAAATTACTTGCGTGGATAAGTAATCACGGTTCTAAATTCATTTCAATGCATAATCTACTCACAAAATGCAGTAAACACGTAGGCAGCAGCTTTGCAAAGTGATCGTCTGAGGTAGAGATTTGGTTGTGCTGTGAAATATATGGTTGAAATGTCTCGAAAAGTGATTTTGATCAGATGCAGCTGCAGCTACCATTGCTGAGTTTGGTATATTCCACCACACACACACACACCCAGCTACCTATCGATGGCTACAAAAACAGCCCAACGGAGCAGTGAATGAACAGGAATCCACAAAACGGGGATGCTTTTACACTTGATTTTAGCGTTGTGTGGACGACTTTCGTGAGGATCTCGTGTCAAACGATGATGCTTTAGGTGCCTGGCTCTACTTTCATACACTCACTCCAAATGACCAATGGCAAGACTAACATTTAAAGTGCGACCAATTCAGACCTTTTGTGCAGTTGCGCATGCCCCTCGAATGCGTCACATCGATTTCTAGTTGATGACAAACACCTTCTATTGGCAATGAGGTCGGCTGCATTCTATTTCATTGTGACGTTTTTGAGCGTGCTTGACTTGCATTTTTGGCACTGGTAGAGACTTCAATCAGGGAGGTGCATCCTTCGAATTCATCCCAACCATCTTCACTTAGACCAATTTTGCACCAGTGTGCAGGCCGCAAGAAAAAATGCATCACAGCTGATTTATGTTTCATTGATCAGCGAGGTAAAGGCAAACGCAAGCAACGACTTGTGCCAGATTACTTGCATGACACTATTTCCACACCGACATTCGACTCTCAACTTTAATATCCGACATCCCACAACATGCATTAGCATTCTGTGAGGGATTAGTGTTGATGCAACAGCATCATTCGACATCATATTCATTTTCATGACCACGAACCGCCTGTGACAAGCAAACGTTGCTTTATCTTGCCTCGTGGATGCATGTGACCAATTCGTTGAATCGGGATTTCCTCAGTGAAACATCACAACAATAATCAGAACTGTCGTTGCATTCACCCCGAATAGGTTGTGAGTTCATTCAATCGCACGACTGAACGCACGTACATGAATTTGGTGCCATGTGCTGCTGCGTGCGAGGGATTTATGTCCTCAAATCTGTCAAAAAACAGGCCTCAGCTCCATACGCAAATAACAACGACTTCCGTTTTGTTTAAGCGTCAATTTCCGTTGCATCTCATCGGAATATATGAAGAAACTAATTTAGCTATCGAAATGGGCCAGTTTCAAGAAATGCATTTGAAATTTGAATTTCGCAAACTGCTAAAGTGTACGAAATCGGTCCCAGTGTTCTCATGCTGCAGTGTTGGACCTCAGGAAATTTACAGATCGGCATTAACTAACACAGGTTCAAACCCGCGAAACCCCAAGCCTCAGACATCCAAACTGAAATAGTGCTCATTTATTCTCATCTATTTTTGAGGATTCTTTGCGAGGCCAATATTTGTTCATTTAGATTCATTCATTTATTTGCATGTGTCTATATGGATATGCCTAGAAGTTAATCCACATGATGCAATTTTCCTGGCATTGAAGTGAACCAAGTCAAGTGAAAAGGCGGACAAATACAAGAAAAATGCCGTCTTTCGTTCAGTGTTTTGACACAAACGTCAACGTGGATTCGACGACAGAGGCGAGGTCGATCCTAAATATGTCGTTGATATGTAAGCCCGAGAATGTTTTTGTATTTCCTTTGTTAAGGCTCAAAGGCAAACGCTCGTATGATAATTGCGATACCATTTGACAAACCTCGTCATATCTGGACAGTCCACATTATAGCTTGTCATTAAGCCTACATAACAACATTATATTGCGATTTCTGCCTGTACTCTCTTCGTTCACTTAAAATTGGTAGATTATCAGGCCTGCCACAAAAGCTAACCACGTGTACAGAGGACCAATG